GTGCTTAGGGACATGGTTTAGTGGTGGCCTTGGCAGTGCTGGGTGAACGGTTGGACTTGATGATCTTGGGGGTCTTTTCCAGCCTTAACGATTCTATGGTTCTATGATCATCAGTAGTAGTGATGGGATGGAGCACACCTCAACAGGTTTGCAGGTGACACTGAACTGGGAGGGCCAGCCACTATGCTGAGAGTGGGTCTGTAGTTTCTAGAGATCTCTGCAGGCTGGAGGAAAGGGCCAAGAGGAATCTCATCAAGTTCAACAGCGATAAATACCAAGTCTCTCCTTGGGACAGACACCCTTCTTGGCAGTGTCCGAGGACAGCCAGCCTGTGGAGTGGCCCTTCTGCAGAGGGTCTTGGGAGCCTGGCAGCTGGTGGACAGCAAACTGAACATGAGTTGGCAGTATGCCCTTGCAGCGATGAAGGCCAGCTACACACTGCATTTCATGCAGGTGGAGGGAAGGGGATATTCCCTCTGCTTGGCACTCATGGGCCCACGGCTAGATCCTCTCTCCTGTTCTGGGCTGCCAGGACAAGAGGGAGGTCAACGAAGTGGCCTGAGTCTGGCGGAGGCCACCGAGACAGTCGGGGCTGGAGCACGCGGTGCGTGAGGAGAAGCTGGGGAGGCTGGGTTTGTTTGGCCTGGGGAGGAGGAGGCTGAAGGTGCGGAGCTGGCAGTGGTGCTTCCCTGCCAGAAGAGGGGTGTAGAGAAGGCAGAGGAAGCCTCTTCTTGGAGGTGCGCGGTGACGGGACAAGCAGCGGTGGTGATGCGTTACGGTAAGGAGAAATTCTAGCTGGAGACATGGAAATGAGTTTTTCACAAGGAGGGTGGTGAAGTGCTGGGCCAGGGCCCACAGCGGTGGTCGGATCTGCGTCCTTGGCAATAGTCACACGTTGAGGGGATGATGTAGCCGTGAAGTTAGCCCTGCTTCGAGCAGGAGGGTGGAGTAGGTGACCTCCGGAGGTCCCTTCCAACCTACGATACACTGCGATTCTACAAAATATCTACTGGAATACACAATATATAAAATAAACCCCTTGATATATATGGTGGGAGAGTCCCAAAAGAATTTTTTATTTCAATAGCCTTTGGCTTTTAAAAGTATTTTTAGGGCATTAATAGAGAGGGCAGAAGTGGTAAATATGGTAAATATGGCAGTTCCCCGAGGAATGCATCTCCACATGTTTTAGCTGAAGTAGAAGGGTTTGGGTTCGGGTCACTTGGACTGTATCTGAACTCGTATATACGTTTTCAGAAACTGATTTCGTAATAACCGAAGTCAGCAGGGCTTCTCTGGAGACTGATTCAGGCAGTCACACCTGGTGACTTTTTTTGTTCTTGCTGCTGTCATACTCCAGCTCTCAGATGGAGCTGAGAAGTAATTTATTCTGTACCATTCTTTTGAAATCCACACCTGTAATGACTGCAAAAGCTTATTTTTTTTCTCTGTGAGGGTATAAATGGAATTTCTCATGGCACATTAGCTAGACGTAATGAAAACAATTTTCAATGAATTGACCTACAATTCTGCATTGCCCACTTCTTGCTCTAAACTTCTTTATGGCAGGATGATTTGCGAGGGGTAAATCTTGATCTTTCTTCAAGGGGAGCCCTCGAATGGCGAAAACCTTTAGAGAATGGTGAGATGGTAGTAAAGTCAAACCCCAAATCTCGGAGGCATCCCTACCTCCATCCAGGAACACATGCATAGCCCTAGCACCCTTTGCTGCCTTCCAGCAAAGCATAGGAGGAGTAAAGTAAACATGAAAATGTGATTTATTTCCTCTTTTCTGTAGTGGTTATGTGGGTAGTGACATTTTTAGAAAAGAAGACCTCCTAAGAGCAGCTGCAGACAGAGTAGGAAAATAGGGATACGCAGGAAGGTAGGTCACTGGAAGGAGTGCCGTTGCTTTCCCCCCCCCCCCCCCCTGTTTTTGTTTTTTTGTGGGTTGGTTTTTTATTTCCTAATTT